AATATACGCCTCCGGATGCTATCTTCAACACAAATTCTGCATTTCAGTGACACTTGAAATGTTTTTAATCTTTACCAGTGGTAAATGGTGTGAGGTGTTCATTAAATGGTTGTATAAATAGTACTTCAGTACTAACTTAGTTGTTTAACTTAATCAAAATATTATATTTATTTCAGCCAGGCCGACTGAGACTTCTTGGGACCAGAAGTGTTGCGCCTGCGTTTGTCATATTTTATTTTTTCTTCTCATAGTTTTTGGTATAGATACCCGACATAAAACAACTGAACAGAGGGTAAATGATCGGCCATGGCAAACCAGGCATAATTTCTGGAGAGATCCTTTAATTTTGTGCGGAGACCTAATAATGGTAATTACTCTTATTATTATTCCTGGTCTTACATTCATATCTAAATTATGTTTGATATTTTCGGCCAAGCAAAACCCGGGAATGCTTCATTAAAAATTTGTAGTTCCAATGCTTCGATAATAAATACACAAACAAATATTACAAAAAAACATGATTTTTATTGTGGAAAATCAGATACTGCAAAGCAGTGCAAAACCAAAACTGCGAGGGTCTGGAAAAACCAAAACTGGGAGGGTGTAGAAAAACAGATATTGCAAGTGGAGGAAAACCATAACTGGGTACGTGTGGAAAATCTATAATGCGGGAAGTCGAAAAACCAGTGGATTTTGTCCTGCATTCTTCTGCCAGAGATCCAGATAGAAACCTCATTTCCCCCTTACTTTTTGTGTCACCCCCGTGTATTTTGAAACCAGAGATGGAAGAAATGTAAGGGGTGAATGAGGTTTAGTCCCTTCCGCTTCTATGGAGAAACCTCTTGAAAATATGTTATTTTCCAGAGGAATTTTCCCGGTGGGACATTGTTCAATGGTGGGCCACTTCAAAGGATCAGTTCCCACTGCTTTTTAAAACAAGCTGCAAAATCTTTGCGGCTTCTGCAAGCAGTGCAGCGTCGGAAAAAAAATTTAATTTCGGACAAACGTTGCAAAATTGGTACAAATGAAGACATGGTTAATCAAATTATGTTCTTAAACTACAATATTGACACAATAAACATAAATGTAGACACCGACACAGACAATAAAGATGAATGAAAAATAAATTAATCAATTAACCAATTTCAAGCACCATGGCCAATACTAATTTTTAAATTTTCATATCTTTATCAATTATAATCGAAAAATGGAACACCGAATTTATCAGCTTATATGTGAAAACATGGTTATCCCATATGGTCTTTTGTTTCTGATAAAAGTGTGGCTTAGAGGTAAAGAAAGTTATAGAATTCAGGATTGTAGAATAGAAATCAATTTATAACTTTTTGAATCCAAATTATCAAAAAAAAATTTTAATATCATTCAGTATACACTTGGAATACTGTACAGCAATAATACTGTACTCACAAAAAGGTGTACAGTAAAATTGTGAGTGAGTACACCATTCACACAAATATAAAAATCATAGCATTCTACAACATTCACAAAAAAGGAAAGGAAAGGGAAAATTATTCAAAAGGCCTTATGAATGTATTCATGCAGGAGTCTAATACATATGTACATACATACATGCGCCAGCAGAACGTACATACAAACATATGAGGGGGCGTGACGTCACATCAGGTTAGCCAAATTTGAAAATATTGGGGACTTGGTTAAGGATGCTGAATCTCCAAGAAATTTAAATGCAGTTATTTGCGGGTATGCCATAAGATTATGAACATCACATTTTTAAACCATTTTAACATTTATAACAGAGAAATGGCAAAAGAAAGAATTAAAAAAAAAAACAAATCGAATTTTGGGGCACTTTGAAGTCGTTTTTTGTTCTACAAAAAACCCCTTACGCGGCTCCTAATTATTTTAGTAATTACTGTGATTTTTCTAGATTTTTAGGTCAATCCGCTCTGGGTGGAATTTGCTACTGACCGTTTTTTTTTATCAAGACAAACATTGATTTAGATATTGGCCCAATTTACATGGATATTTTGTAAATTTTTTTCCGAGGGTGCATTAATTTCTATAGAGGGCGGAAAGGAATGCGTGGCCCGATCGATGTCCAGACTTTGCATATATAATAACTATATAGTGTGCCAAGTTTCAAGTCTGTAACTTAATTTTTCTAGTTTAAGCCTAGTACTCAGTACGACGAAAACTGTTAGCTAAGCATAGGAGTAAGCGAGAGGCAAATAGTTAGCTAAAGCCTTTAGCCGGGGACTTTTTTCACCGCGGTACTCAGTTGAGCTAAGGAAACGGTAAGAAAATACCATAAAAATACTAGATTTAGCGGATGAACTCCGATGAACGCCTTTAGCCGCGGGACAAAGAATAAAAAATTTGATCTTTGGCTGTGTATGTGCAGAAACGGTGTGCCAATAACAAATTATAAATAAAATTAAAAATGAAAAACTTAAAAACCAATGGAAAACTTCCTGTAGGAGTTGCGGAAACACATATCTCCATGCCAACAGCAAATTTAAAGCTTCCAACCCAGGTCGGCTCAACATTTTGTAATATTTTAAAATTGGCACCAGTTAATTTGTTTGCCGTTTGTGAACCCAGCTGGTTTACAATAAGACCATGCTACATGCAAAGCGGCTGAACTCTGAAAACTTCGGTCAAACTACAAAAGAATAAGATTTTTGGACTAGTGAAACTCTTAGCCGAACTGAGTACTAGGCTTAAAGCCTAGGCTTAAAGCCTAGTACTCAGTACGACGAAAACTGCTAGCTAAGCATAGGAGTAAGCGAGAGGCAAATAGTTAGCTAAAGCCTTTAGCCGGGGACTTTTTTCACCGCGGTACTCAGTTGAGCTAAGGAAACGGTAAGAAAATACCATAAAAATACTAGATTTAGCGGATGAACTCCGATGAACGCCTTTAGCCGCGGGACAAAGAATAAAAAATTTGATCTTTGGCTGTGTATGTGCAGAAACGGTGTGCCAATAACAAATTATAAATAAAATTAAAAATGAAAAACTTAAAAACCAATGGAAAACTTCCTGTAGGAGTTGCGGAAACACATATCTCCATGCCAACAGCAAATTTAAAGCTTCCAACCCAGGTCGGCTCAACATTTTGTAATATTTTAAAATTGGCACCAGTTAATTTGTTTGCCGTTTGTGAACCCAGCTGGTTTACAATAAGACCATGCTACATGCAAAGCGGCTGAACTCTGAAAACTTCGGTCAAACTACAAAAGAATAAGATTTTTCGACTAGTGAAACTCTTAGCCGAACTGAGTACTAGGCTTAAAGCCTAGGCTTAAAGCCTAGTACTCAGTACGACGAAAACTGCTAGCTAAGCATAGGAGTAAGCGAGAGGCAAATAGGTAGCTAAAGCCCTTAGCCGGGGACTTTTTTCACCGCGGTACTCAGTTGAGCTAAAGCCTAGTACTCAGTTCGGCTAAGAATTTTACTAGTCGAAAAACATTAATCTTTTAGTGTGACCGAAGTTTTCGGAGTTCATCCGCAATGCATGTAGCATGGTCTTACTCTCAGCAAACAAATCAACTGGCGCCAATTTTAAAATATTACAGAACGTTGAGCCAACCTGGGTCGCAAGCTTTAAATTCCCTGTTGAAGAGGCGATATGTATTGCAGCAACTCCTACAGGCAGTTTTCCATTGATTTTTGTGGTTTTCTTTCCATTTATAAATTGTTATTGGCACACCGCTTTTGCACAAACACAGCCAAAGATCAAATTTTTTATTCTTTGGGCCGCGGCTAAAGGCGTTCATCAGAATTCATCCGCTAAATCTAGTATTTTAGTGGTATTTTCTTACTATTTCCTTAGCTCAACTGAGTACCGAGGTGGGAAAAAGTCCCCGGCTAAGGGCTTTAGCTACCTATTTGCCTCTCGCTTACTCCTATGCTTAGCTAGCAGTTTTCGTCGTACTGAGTACTAGGCTTAAGGAAATAGTAAGAAAATACCACTAAAATACTAGATTTAGCGGATGAATTCTGATGAACGCCTTTAGCCGCGGCCCAAAGAATAAAAAATTTGATCTTTGGCTGTGTTTGTGCAGAAGCGGTGTGCCAATAACATATTATAAATAGATTGAAAACCCCAAAAACCAATGGAAAACTGCCTATAGGAGTTGCAGCAATACATATCCTCATTCCAACAGCAAATTTAAAGCTTGCGACCTAGGTCGGCTAATCATTTTGTAATATTTCAAAATTGGCGCCAGTTAATTTGCTTGCTGAGAGTAAGACCATTCTACATGCATTGCGGATGAACTCCGAAAACTTCGGTCACCCTAAAATATTAATATTTTTCGACTAGTAAAACTCTTAGCCGAACTGAGTACTAGGCTTTATGCAAGAATATTGGGCATTGGGACTAGTGTGCATTGCGAGTGAACTCTGAAATCTTCGGCCACACTTCAAAGAATATTATTTTTCGACTAGTGAAACTCTTAGCCGATGTGAGTACTTAGTACTCAGTACTAGGCTTGAGTTATTACATATACTTAATAGGGTCCAAAATGTTTTCCGCTGTTTTGCAAAGTTTTAAAAAAATGTATACACTAGTCGGCATAATTATTTTGACAAATTTTAAAGTTAAATCTTTTCATATTTTGAACTTATAATAGAAACATTTTGGCACCTATAGAAAGAGCACTTCAATTCCGTTTAAATGACACAACAATGTTCTTAACCCATTAAGCACCCTTTGAAAAGTTAGGAAATTAGACAATTTATTGTGAAGGTCAAATTTTCAACTTTTTTCTGGGGGCTTAAAACAAAAATGTTTTGATGCAAAATTTTTCCCCAATTAAAATTAATAATAACTGCAAAAAAAAATTTTTTAAATACTTTTCCTTGTATTTTGTTTTAAGCCCCAGGAAAAAAGTTGAAAATTTGACTTTTATGCCGACTAGAGTATTACCCTCTGCAAAGGTTTAAAAAAGAATAAGTTAGATTATCCAAAATTTAAAAAGCTAAAAATATCAACGTTCTGAAAATGTCTAAGTGTTTTTTTTCGCGAGACTTTAATAATTTTTCAGCGTCTCAGCCCAGTAGACCGGGGTAAAGCCTCACGAAGATGATTAATTTTTAGAAATACAATATTTATAAAAATAAGTGCACCATTGTGATGTTTCATCGTTTAAGGGAGGTATATGAGCGCTTGTTTATAATTTTCCCACTTCGTGCAGATAAGCGCCAAGCAGTTTAGTCTAAAAAAATATATATCAGTTATAGAATTAAGCAGTTGTATCCTTCTATTCAAACTTACACCTTCAATGTAGTTGTAAATATCTATTTTTTCATTTTGAGAGTGGGCGCCGTCGTCACAAGCTCCCACTGGTACAAGGATGACGTTTTTTCCAGTGGCTTCCTGCAAAGTCAATGTTACTGGAATGGATCCCCCTTCGCGAGTCATGTCCGGTTCTACATTAAAAACGTGCCTCATGGCCCGTTTCGCAGCCTCATAATGGGGGTGGTTTGGGTCCTCTGTCCAGGGTTTGCCAGCTGATAGCATAGTAATCTTCAAAAATAGGCATTATAATTAAGAACAATGCGAGTGTGAGCACAAAAAATAACCTTAATTTTGTTTGGCGATCCACGCTCAGTCCATTTATCATTAAGATATTTAACGACACACTCCTCAATGTGCTCTGGGTCCTGGTTGGGCACAAGGCGAATGGAGAACTTGCCAATCACCTTTTTCGGAATAACTGTCTTTGCGCCTGGCTCATAAAATGCACCCTCGATTCCATGGACTGATAGGCTGGGATAACGCCACCTGGCTTGAAGCAGTCTGGTTTTATCGCCATTATGCGGCAGCTGGTCAACACCGATGTCTTTCCTAAAGAGATTACGGCGATCTAGAGATTTATGGCGTCGATAGTAAGATAAGATTAACTAACTTGTAATCAGAAACATCGAAATCAATGTTCTCATATATTTCTTGCTCATTCTTTAGCTGGGGTGCAACCTGTACCAATTCGAGATAAATTAAACCTTTTAAAGCTTGCAGCTAGTACTTAAAATTACTTACGTCACGGTCTACTCCTGGGATCAGGATTTTCGTGTCCTTGTCGACGAGCACGCTAAGCAAGTAACACAGATCCGGCATAGCTTCGTGGACGGTGCCCCCGAAAACTCCACTGTGCAAGTCTTTATTTGAGCATTCCACCTCCACTTGAAAGTATGCCAGTCCACGAAGCCCATATGTAAGACAAGGACGCTTCTTTCCTAGCCAGTAGTTGTCGGAAATGCAGACATAATCAACATCGGCAAGGAAATCATTTTTGCGCCTTATCAACAAGTCGTCAAGGCCTTCGCTACCACTTTCCTCCATTCCTTCGAAAACAAACTTCACGTTTAGTGACAGCGGTATATTGAGCTTATTATAAGCCTCGATAGCATGGATCCAGCACAGCACAGGTCCCTTGTCATCGGAGGCCCCGCGTCCGAACAACTTTCCATCTACTTCGGTAAGCTCGAAGGGATCGGTGTTCCATCCATCTTCCTTTAGAGCAGGCTGCACATCCAAATGGCCGTAGACCAACACGGTCTTCTTGGAGGCGTCTTTGCCCAGAGTTCCCAGCAGGACCTTTGGAAGAGGGATTATCTGGCCGCTCGGCAAGGTCTGTTGGCCCACATCCGCCAGCTCTATTTCAGCGCCCAAGGCCTTTAAGCGATCTGCGGTCCAGTTCACCATGCGATCGATCTCGCCTCGCTTATCTGCCCATGCTGAAACCGACTGAATTCCCACAACGGTTTTTAGAGCTTCGATGTAATCTCCTTTTTTGCTGTCAACAAAGCTGAAAAGCGATTGCGGTTTATGACTATTAGATATGAGTACGGTAAGCTAATAAAAGCGTTATCTATCCCTAAGTATAACAATTTGCGGCTAAGACCATGGGTTAAGTGAATGGTGTGTGTGCCTTTCTATTGGTGCCACTCGAACAAAGGCGATAAGAGAACATTTTGTAGCGAATTCAAGTCAGTCAGGTCCAAGACAAAATGCAAATCACATATTTCTACATTGACGTGAATAGTCGCTCGGTCGCTGGTTTAAGTTTACTTATACCAACGGATATCGATATGAGCTTGAATAATAAACTATGCGCCCCAGTAAGAGATTTGCAAAACGAACGTGCTGTTATTCTTAAGTGGTCCTGATTAGGAAAGTTCTTTGTTTTATATATATATATATATATATATATATATATATATGTACGGGGCTTTTGTATGTGTGTGACAATTTGGACTCATCTCAGCATCCTCTAACCAATAGTATCCAATTATACATACGCAAAGAACTGTTGGAGTTCATCGGGAAGCTCTGCCATCGTACTATTAATGTTGTACAGGAATACGAGAAGAACTGCAACGTGCAACGGACACTACCGATTTAAATCTGACTAGATGTCAGCGCGCGCCTATATATACCAAAAAAAAACAAAGGTATTGACCGGAGTGGGACCTTTTCCTGACTTCAAAAATATGCCATACAGTCGATTAATTGTAAACGAAAATGGAAGCGCGTATTTTGGAAGAAAGTTATAGTCTGTTTCCACATATACCTGAGCCTGAGCACAACCGAATGAAACAGTTGAGTTTTTCGACAAATGTATAGCACTAGTTTACAAAATAATATTCTTGGTGTGCTCCCCAGCAATTTATGGCAAATTCTGTTAGTGTTGGACCTCTAGACTACGAAAATAGCATTAATTTTTTTTTCGATGGCACAGTTTTTTTTAAAAGATTTTTTAAAGTTCGAAATGTTAAATTTCTGACTTTTTTCGAATTTCTTCTTATATCTCGGCAGATATCCACCCGATTGGGCCAGTTTTAGTTTTATTTTAAAGTCAATAGATCAGAGCTTAACTTTGCCATACAGATCAATATGATTAGATAAGTAATGGCAGCGCAGAAACTTGACAAAGATGAAAAATGTGTTTTTTGGTCGACTGTAAGTCGGCTGTATATATCGTAAAAACTCGAAATGAATCCGTTGAAAAATCATAATGGTTACAAACTTAAAGTTTACATCCTACCGAATAAAACAAGCCGGATATGGCCCAAATCCATGGAAAACTGGATTTATGGTGGATTTTTAAAGATAGGATTTTTCCACTTTTTTCGGTTGACAGAGTCCAAATCTAAGATTTATCATAGGCGGCGACATGTAAACAACAATGAGTGGTGACGACAGCCGGGTCAAAAAATAGTATAAAAAAATAGTATAAAAAACCACAAATATGCTTTCTAAGTTGATCTTGATGAAAATAATGCGTACTGTTGATACTAATAGCCTCTTCCCATAGAGTCCATCCGCTTGAAACGGTTGGGATTTTTGACGAATGTGAAACTCGTGTTCCCACAGAACTCCATCCACCATCTACCATCCGATTACAGCTGACTGAAGAGCAGTTGCTTAGCTCAACATTAACGAAGGGGGATTTCAACTCGGGAAAACTGTCGTAAAATTGCGTTCTTCTAATTCTTTTGTAGAATAATTTAATAAATAGATTAAGATAATAGTTAAAAAAATATCTGAACATTTATAACATATCCTATAACAAGTATGCATACATATTGCTGACTGGGGGAGAGCCTAACCTCCCGTACCCCACCTCCGCTCTTACTACGCCTCTGTCTAGCCAATATTAATATGACAAATTTGTAAACAAAACCAAATTTGTGCTGTTTTGGTAATTTACAGCCACTTTTAAACTTTATAGGAGTACATAGTACACTTTTATTTAATATTAGTTATTATTTACGATGTGCAGACCATATTCTGAGAATTCGCTACAAACATTGATGTTTTCGTTCGCAGAACAGCTTAAATTTTTGGCCCACACATAGCAACCTGTTTGCGAATGCTTTTCCGGTCATAACTAACTACAAATAATTCAACGATTGCCAAAGAACAATGAACTTAGGCATTATTTAATTTTTTCCCGCCATTGATTTGATTTGTTCTCGCAGTCATCGTTCCAATTTTCACAGTCAAGAGGAAGAATTCAGAGTTGCACCGAGAAAACATCGCCTAACTATCGCATAAAAGAGCCCGTCAAAGTCCGTTAAAATTGGATGGCGGACTAACTGGGAAATTTTCGGAACGGCAAAACCTTACGGACCATCCGTTCAACGGATGGTAGACGGTGGATGGAGCTCTGTGGGAAGACCCTATAAAATGTTACAGAGTTGCCATGACTTTTAATAAAAAAGGTGACAACTCTGGTTTTCAACGATTCAACAAAATTTTCAACAGCCTCGAGGCTGTTGAATTGCTGAAATTTCTGAAAGTTGACTTTGTATGGAACAGCTGATTACAAGATGACCAAAATTCAACAATTCAGCAATTCAACAGTTTAGGGAATACCCTGATTGACAACCACATTGACTTAATAATGAACAGCTATTTCATAATAACATAAACGAAACAAGATTTCAATTCGACAAAATTGCCGTAAAATGCTGTTCTTCTAATCTTATTGTATAATAATATATTAAATAAAATAAGATAAGCATCTTAGATTTTATAAGATATACTATAACAAGCCTGCTTACAAATTGCTAATTTAAGCCCATTTCTCCATTAAGGACTCGTCGAACTTGCATCCATTTACCGTTTAACCCGCCTAGAATCCCATACAAACTTGTTAGTGAGGGGAGGGTGAAAACTGTCGCGTTACAGGACTTTGTGGTATTTTCCAGCAGTATTAACCAGGCATGATCATTTTTCTGGACCCCAAAATGATAAGAAGCTGATAAGAGCGGGACAAATTAAAACCATTTATTGTTCATATTGAATTATTTACAGATTTCTATTGAACTTTACTTCGTATAGTTTTGGTATTTAATATTACATAAGATCTGGCAATAGTTCAGTATTCCGAGGAAGAAATAATAATAAAGGGCAGTACGTTGTTGAAAAAGGAATGGTTCGGCTAGAACGGATCGGATTCGACATATTGGTCGTTGCAGCGCAGGCACATGGGCTTTTTTCTCCGGCTCCGTGATCTTGACGCTAACTTCTTGATTCATCAAGACGAAGTCCTGGGCGCACTTTGAGCGCAGGTACACAATAGAGCCCTGCATGAGTAGAGTCATAGCTCCCTTTGATTTCATGAGCCATTCGATCTATCTATGCTTTGAAACATGGTTCATACCAGAGCATGTAAAAGTTGATCGTTTTTTCGTTTGCTGTCTCGGTCTGAACAAAACCGAAACAAATTTATTTTTGTTTTTCGATATGCTTAACAAAATGTTTATTGGAGGGTGTGAAACAAATTTAAAAATTTGGTTTCGGTCTGAGCGAAACCCCCTTACATACATTTTTTCGGTCCTTCAAAAATTGATTTTCGTTTCATACAAACGGTCCCAAAAAACTGTAGATGAACAAAACTTTGAAATGCTCAGTAAAAACGGTCTTTTTTGACAGTTCTGTCTTTCCTTTGCCTTACACCTTTAAAAATTTAAGTTAATATATAGAACATATATTTGAAAAATGTTACCACTCTTTCGCCGTATAAACGCGAGTGGTAACATTGACAAAATAGGTATGAGGTAAACTATTGGAAGCAAGTGGCTTTGCAATCAATGTGGTACTGTCCACATACAAAAAAAAAAAAAAGTGGGGTGGCTGGGTTGACATGGAACGTCCCATATAAAAAACTAGTGATGATCGCACCTTCAACATACAAAAGTTCTGATATCAACATTTGTGTCTAATATTTTCTCATTCGGCCCGCCCTAGCATACTATTTTAGCCTTTTTACTTTCATAGGCATTTTCTATTGCAGCGTGCCGAATGAGAAAATCTTAGAAAGTGTATTTAATGACGAGTGTAATAAACATAAACGAAACAAGATTTCAATTCGACAAAATTGCCGTAAAATGCTGTTCTTCTAATCTTATTGTATAATAATATATTAAATAAAATAAGATAAGCATCTTAGATTTTATAAGATATACTATAACAAGCCTGCTTACAAATTGCTAATTTAAGCCCATTTCTCCATTAAGGACTCGTCGAACTTGCATCCATTTACCGTTTAACCCGCCTAGAATCCCATACAAACTTGTTAGTGAGGGGAGGGTGAAAACTGTCGCGTTACAGGACTTTGTGGTATTTTCCAGCAGTATTAACCAGGCATGATCATTTTTCTGGACCCCAAAATGATAAGAAGCTGATAAGAGCGGGACAAATTAAAACCATTTATTGTTCATATTGAATTATTTACAGATTTCTATTGAACTTTACTTCGTATAGTTTTGGTATTTAATATTACATAAGATCTGGCAATAGTTCAGTATTCCGAGGAAGAAATAATAATAAAGGGCAGTACGTTGTTGAAAAAGGAATGGTTCGGCTAGAACGGATCGGATTCGACATATTGGTCGTTGCAGCGCAGGCACATGGGCTTTTTTCTCCGGCTCCGTGATCTTGACGCTAACTTCTTGATTCATCAAGACGAAGTCCTGGGCGCACTTTGAGCGCAGGTACACAATAGAGCCCTGCATGAGTAGAGTCATAGCTCCCTTTGATTTCATGAGCCATTCGATCTATCTATGCTTTGAAACATGGTTCATACCAGAGCATGTAAAAGTTGATCGTTTTTTCGTTTGCTGTCTCGGTCTGAACAAAACCGAAACAAATTTATTTTTGTTTTTCGATATGCTTAACAAAATGTTTATTGGAGGGTGTGAAACAAATTTAAAAATTTGGTTTCGGTCTGAGCGAAACCCCCTTACATACATTTTTTCGGTCCTTCAAAAATTGATTTTCGTTTCATACAAACGGTCCCAAAAAACTGTAGATGAACAAAACTTTGAAATGCTCAGTAAAAACGGTCTTTTTTGACAGTTCTGTCTTTCCTTTGCCTTACACCTTTAAAAATTTAAGTTAATATATAGAACATATATTTGAAAAATGTTACCACTCTTTCGCCGTATAAACGCGAGTGGTAACATTGACAAAATAGGTATGAGGTAAACTATTGGAAGCAAGTGGCTTTGCAATCAATGTGGTACTGTCCACATACAAAAAAAAAAAAAGTGGGGTGGCTGGGTTGACATGGAACGTCCCATATAAAAAACTAGTGATGATCGCACCTTCAACATACAAAAGTTCTGATATCAACATTTGTGTCTAATATTTTCTCATTCGGCCCGCCCTAGCATACTATTTTAGCCTTTTTACTTTCATAGGCATTTTCTATTGCAGCGTGCCGAATGAGAAAATCTTAGAAAGTGTATTTAATGACGAGTGTAATAATTTTTCGTCACAAATGTTGATATCAGAACTTTTGTATGTTGAAGGTGCGATCGTCACTAGTTTTTTACCTTGTTAAGAGGTGTTTTTATTTGATATCAGAAGTTTTTGTTCGTTTATATTTGCTCTCATAGGAGCTAGTATATACATTTAAATTTAAATTGGTCAATCATAATTTGTAAA